GGCGCTGCCTTGCCACCCTCACTCATCTGCTGCGGGAAGGAATCCAACTCAGCCTTTAGCTTAGCGTCCATGTTGGCCTCCAGCTCCAACCTCATTTGAGAGAAGCTGACCTCAATCTCGGGAAAGAATGTTGCAACACGCCTGAAGAACTCCTTATCCTGTGCTGTTGAGGTGGAAGCTATCGATGCACTGGTTAAAAGGTGAGCGTCGTAGGAAAACCCCTACGACCCGAGCCCGTCGACTCATCCCTTCTTCTTCCCTCTAGCACCCTCCATTCATAGGTCGTTCTCGGAAGGATCAAGCTCGCAGATCATAATACCTCCCGACGTCTAGGATCAGTTCTGCTTCAGTTGCTGGAATCTCTCATGTAAACAAAATAATAACATTCAGTTATAACTAACATGTATTTATATCAAACTACTTTAGTTCGTCATTTAACTGGGTTGCACGAGATCTGTCGTCGATCCAGGTCTGGTTGGACCACATCCCTTGGGTGCACTCATTTACATTGGCGGCATATGTCATTCGTCCAAGCTGCACAATCTATCCATAAAACAAAATAGTCAAAATACATCTTTAAACTATAGAAAACCTTATAGAATAAATGAAATCTAACATGTCTTAGCTTGATTTCGTATGTTGGACTGCCCCACCAGTGTGGTTAGAGAGCCCCATGCCTCCACAGTTTAACCGTCTGTTCTGCTTTGCCTGCTTCATCTTCTTCTATTAGTCCAGAGAATCTCAAGCCCTAAGTAGCGTGAAAAAAACATCCTCTCAAGCCACAGAGAATTTTGTCGTGATTTTCATATATTGTCAAACATGTCCCAGAGCTGATAGTTGCCCTTGAGCTTGAAGTTGCGTCGGATGTAAGCATCATGCCAGGGGGCCAGAAGAATTGTTTATGCAAATATTACAGAGAATATGTTCGATTGAAAAATAAATTAAAACAACTTAAGTTATTAGTGAAAAATACTTACCGTAACCTCCTGAAACCAAGATCTTAAAAGTTCATCGGGATCTTCTTCCACGACAAGTATGATGAGTCACACTTGATCCGCATGATGGCAGGTGTGGAGGCGAGGGTCGAAGCGGCGGTTTGGAGGTGATTGTCGGGGCGAGGGTGATGGCGGGTGTGGAGGCGAGGGTCGAAGCATCGGTAGGGGCGAGTGAGGGGATGGGGGTAGTGGCGAGGGCGCGTGCATAATTGGTTGCGGAGACGGGGGTCGGGGCGGTGGTAGAGGTGAGTATGGGGGTGACAAGGGTAAGGGTGGGAGTGGGTGTCGAAGTTGAGTGGCCTCTTCTGAACTTTTTCTTCAGATAACATTTCAAAATTTAAGTTGTCAATTCCAAAATAAAAATTCACTTTAAAAATAAATTTGCATTATTAAAATGGCAATTGCGACAATGAAATTTAGATTTAGATGTGAATTTCCATCTTATAACTAACAAATTAGATTTCAAAGTGAATTTCCATTCTCATTGTGGAAATTAGACTTCGCACTAGAGGATTTAGTGAAAACTCTTACATCCTATGAAATATTTTTTTTCTAAGAGCATATTTTCATGTGTTCGATTAATCGTCCAAGGGGTTGCGGCGATGATCATGTTTAGTTCTATGATTAACTTTACAGTTGGAAATAAAAAATGAAACAAGTATGCCCGTGATAGTGTTAGAGTAGCTACAATTGTAAGTAATATTAGAAAGACACATCATGAAGTCTAAATAAAGTGTCAGAATAACTTTTTATTAATACACCACAACAATTATTGCTCGAAAATTGACTAATTTTAATTTTGACTTATATTCATTTAGAGTCAACCACAGTTAAGCTCAAAATCAGAACATTAACAGCCCACTGAGGTTGTTAGGATTGTCGAAGGTCGATAACCGTCGAACGTTTATCAATATTTTATCTCTAATTTTATTTTTTACCATAGTTACACCAACTCATTCACGAGCATATTTCGTTTATATTTATCAACAAGTGTAAAGTCAACGATCTATATGGGGTTTGCAATTGGTTTTTCACTTGGAGACAAAATATGAAACAAATATTGGTAATATTAGATGGAGACGTTTTAATCAATTATGAATCATTGTTCGACCGTTTAATGATCTTCAATAGAATTATCATACTATGATTTTAAACAATCTGAGATCGAGTCGAGATGATGTAGGTTCAAGAAACCGACTTGAAATCTAATGATTAATCACATCCCTATTTATATCACCATCAGTTTAAACAAGAGACTCCAAATATCTAGAATATTCACACCTCTTAAATGATTTGATCCCCTCAAGTTTCAACTCTGCCACTAAAGCTACAACTACTAAAATTACATTTCAATTATCTAGTTCTAGATCTACTCAAAAGAAGGACTTTAGGCTTCAACGCCGGCTGCCATAATTTATATTTTTCCTAAACTCTTTCTCTATTCTAATCCACAAGAAGGATATCACAAGCAAAAAGCATACACCAAGGTGCATCCTCTTGTAAGTGTCTGGCAAGAGCATTCATAAATAAAGCAAAAACATATGTGCTTAAAGTCGATCCCTGATATAATTTGGGTTGTTAACGATCCGATTTCAAGTCGAACAGTCGGCTTGGAAAAAGCTCGATCCAAAGTTTAGCTCGTAGCTTGGCTCGTTTATTTCGATCCAATCTTGATCCAAGCCAAAATTTGAATCAATTTTTTTAGAGATTAACGTTCTTCGAGCTAAATTCGCTAAATTCATAGTCATTTGTTGTTAAAAACCTGATTTCGAGTCGAGCTGGGGTCGGTTCTAAAAAAATTCAATCCAAAATTTAGGCTTGTTGCTCGGTTCATTTATTTCAATTAGATCTCTCTGAGCCAAAATTCTAATCAATCTTCCAGCGATTATTGATGGTCGAGCTAAATTCATAGCCCTAGATGTAGTCCAATTGAGATAGAAAATTATTTGGCAAACCTCTAAGTTGCTAAAACCTAAACCCAAGACACATTCTTCAAAGCAAATGAAAAGAAAAATGAAAATGAAGAAAAACAAGTTACCTTCCTTGGTCGTTCCGGATTGCAGAGGACAGAAGGCGGAGAAAAAAGGGAGTTTCCGGTCCTAACTAACTCTTATTTTGACAGTATCGCGAGGGTTCGGCGATGAAGGCTATGGCTTTGGACGAAACATAGAGGGACATGCAAGGGTTTAAGGGAGAGGGGAGGGAGAAGAAGAGGGTCAGAAGGAGAGATTAGGGCAAGATCGGGAGGGAAGTGATTTCGGGCGGGATATAGGATTAGTTTCGACCTATTAACGACTTTTTTGTGTCGGTTATTAAAACTATTATTGAAGTCTATTCCCATCGCTTAATAATAAAATATGTCGGTTAAAACCCATTAGATGGTGGGTTTGAACATAACCGATGAACCTTAACTGTTAGTTAATATTTGCTTGTAACCAACGGATTATTCGTAAGTAACAATTAAAAATAGAAGGCAAAGTAAATATTGATAATCAATAGTATATGTTATGGTTATGTCATCACAAATAACCAAGATAAAAAACTGTCGCAAAACGGTCAGTAATTAAAATAATTTTTTTGATATATAAAAAGTCATTTTTCCGTCGGTTTTAGCATTTTTTTTTCTGTAGTGCTTTTTATGAGAGATACAAATAAAATAAATGAAGGGAGAGCACTTGAACTCCATCCTTCTCCTCTATTTATCTTAATATGTCTCTCATAAATTCAAAAACTATAGGAAAACCAACTTCCTAAAAGTGTTCAATAAAATTATTTATCATCAACAATTAAACTTTATATTTTATTGTATATAGCAAAAAAAAACAGCACGAATCTAAAAAATGAACGACCAAGAGGAAAGGACCTCTTTTTGAGGTAAGCAATCAACCTACGATCCAAAACCGAGCATGAAGTGTGTCTCTAAATCAGGGATAGGTTGAAGCTCTAGAGATTGTTCCCAAGCGGCAAGACCCACCGAAAGTTAAGGGTGAATCATTTTGACAGCAAGTCTCATCGAATACCGATCGTGGGCTGCGACAAGATCTACTTATTACCTTGCAATATTGAGGGATCATGTCGATGCAAAAAACAAACCAGACAGGCGAGACAAAAGCTGCATAGAAAATGAGCCATAACTCAGGTTGATTACATTCGATCGACCGACCCCGCGTGTAGACCAAACGACCACCTCACAAATTGGCTGCTCTGGTCAATCGTACCCAAAGACATCGAGCAAGATTGTCATACAGTCGAACACCTCCGCTGACCAACGCATACTCCAAAAGGCACAAATATCACTCGGACAGTCGCCTCAGTCGATTGACTTCAAACTAGCCGACTAGTCATTTACTGTGAACGTTGAAATTCAAATTGTAATACAAATGTGACATAAAATTTATACAATCAAATGGAGACTTATTGAAATTAAGAACAGTTTTCATTAATGTTTCATCCCTCATATAATTGTACATAACACGTTTATATAAGCCACTGGCAAAAACACAAATCAACATATCATTCCCTCGATTCTCGCTATAAAAACCAACTTTATTCTACTCTCTGTTCCTTCTCTTCTTCACCCGGCTCTAACTCTCGGAGCATGATCCACAAATGACAAATTAAGATCAGACATTTATAAACAAAATTTAAACTCCTTTGAATGGCAAAATCATAATATTAATGCATACTCTCTTCTTTATATTATTCCTTTTAAATATTTATTTTAATATCTTTGTTCCTACTAACACATATCATATCATATGTTTTTACATGCAACAAAATTACCTTCTACCTAATAAGGCATTGTTTCAACACAATAAATGTATCAACCTTTTGATACAATTCTATAATGGGAACACTTATACCATCTCTTTCTATCAAAATTATGCTATATCCATTTTTTCAGGAACACCGTCAACATAAAAATTTTCAAAGCATTGCCTTAATTACATGTTTAGCAACATGATTTACTACTAACAACCTAAAAAAAAACCAAACATTCATCAATAATCACAAAAAACCTAATTATTCATAACACAAAACATTAGATTAAGCTACAACAATGCAAGAACATAAACAACACGTTAGTACACGAAAAGAAATGAAAAAAAAATCCAACATAACAAGCTGAGCAACAACATCAGAGACAGATATATATATATATCTAAGGCTGAGTCAATACCCGAACCACCGCCATTGCTCCGAGCTGAAGATTACAATTAAACCGCCGCCCCTTCTTCGGCCGCCGGCAGCTTCCTCATCACTTAGCAAAGATACGGTTTTTCTCCACCGCCCGCTAACGGTTCGTTCTTGAATCAACCCCTTCCATTCTTCCTCAGCTCTCCCCCTGTAGCGCCACCTTAATCTTCTGCACCGTACACGATATCAAATTGCTAACGGTTTCCACCGACTCCACCGTCAGCTTCGCCGTCGGCAAACTGTTCACCAGAATCTGAAACGCCACCGTTAGAAGCGAGCCTACGGCGCCTCCATCCGGCATCACCGCGAATCCCGACGGAAGCAGCGCCACGTATGTTGAATCCCCGCCGTTCATCACATGATGCATCGCCGGCACGTCCACCGGCGCATACACCACCATCGAACCCGACGCATCGGTGCAAGTCTCCTGCAGTATGAGCATGCTGCTCTGGTCCGTGTTCAAGGCCTGTACCGCATATGAACACATTAATGCATTGCATTTGATTAAATTCAGCCAAGAATTTTAGTGATTTATTGCCGGAAAACTTACATTGGCGCAGAGCAAGCTAACGGCGTTACCCTGGTCCTGTAACCCTTTAGCAATATGAGCCATTTCCCGCATAGGTCCGCCATTGGAGAGGATATCCCATTGGCAGCGAAGGTTTTCGTCCCGCAGAAAATCGAATAAACGCTGCGGCGATATGGGGAGCCAGACAGAGGTAGCGGCAGAGAGCACGACGCCGGGCGGCTCGCCGGGATCGTCCATGCTCTGCCTCGTCATCACTCTCACCTCCTCGCTAATGCTTCCCATGTTCCGCAAACGACTCCACTTCCGCGCCGACGATGCGCACACGCCCGCACAAAAATTGTCCGTCATCCGCTGCGCTAGCTTCAACATGCTCCGTCTACCCGCCGCCGTTATCGCTGCACCACCACCGGAACAAGTACCTTAGCAAATTATGGGGACAGGTCGCATAAACCCTACCTATTCTCTTTGGTTTTATTTAAATGTTGGCAGCTGCATAGATAATTATGAAAATGTGCAGGTGCTAATATAAAAAATTAAAAATTAGGGATGTGTACTTTTCCATTTAAAGCTGATCTAATGTGATTTTCTATAGGTTGAGCTGAGCACATTTTTTTAATTTGAGCACAACGTAGCTAATTTATTTAAAAACTGTACCAACTGGCCAATAAATTATTTGTATATTGTCATGATAATCGAATCAAGCATTTATAAAAATATAAAATTGAGCAAAAATTATTGCAAAAAAAAGAAAAAACTGAACAGAATATTTATGTTACAATATAAATTTGCAAATAAAAATATATAAATAAATAACTATATATATAGTACAATTACCATAGTGGAAAGACATTTTGCTGCGGCTAAAAATAAACTAGCATCTGCATCTTACTAGATCTGACCAAGATATTAAAATATTACTTTATCTAGAATTTTTTTGGTCAGAGTGGCTTGTTTTGTGATTATTTTATTGAGGCATTTACGTATATGCCACCAATTTCCTATGTATTTACAGATCTAACACCTAAATTTTATTCTTTAGATTTATACCGATCAAATAAAAAATATCATTATTTAAACTTTTTTAAATTGTGTGTTAAAAGAGGGGCTTTTGTGAAAATTGAAGTGTTAAATATGTAAATACATAAGAATTTACTGGTATGAAAGTAAATCTTACTGTTGTGTTTAATATTGTTCAATTTGGATCTATTAAAATTAGGAATAATTACATACATAGCACTCAAAATATTAATATTTACAAAATACATCATTAGGGTGCGCATTTCAATCAAAAAATATGGGTTAGGGTTTGACCATAAATTTTGATATTTGATTTGTAAATTACAATAAACTTAAGGGCATTTACATATATAGCACATGCAATTATTATGCATTTACATATATAGCACATGCAACTGAAATTCATGCATAGATACAGTGCTACGCGGGTAAATATGAAAGTTTTGGTCCGAGATATGTAAATGCATAAGAAGTCAGTGTTATACATGTAAATTTCTCTTAAAATGAATACTAGAACTTACCGCTGGGCTCGCGATTGGGGACGGATGATGACATCAGCACGGCGAGACACTCGCACTGCCTCTGCAGAGTGGCGACCCACCGCTGCGCTCCGAGCGCCATACCGGACCGAAGCAGCGGCCTATAGAGCTGGTGCACCGCCGACTCATCATACTCGGCGTGCTCCACCCACGTCACCTGCGCCACACAGCTAGCATCCGTGAGATGCGCGATAATTACATCACAAGCTGTATGTACCCCGCTGAGCAGCGGCCATCGCAGGACTGCTGGTACAGGAAAAGTCTTTTCAAGCATTCGCGCGAGGACACCCTACCGACGCAAGAAGACAAAACCTGCCCTTTCCCCGCGGCGACCACATGGCTCACAGATTGACGAAATCCCGATCCTGCAAAGCTTTGACTATTGCACAAAAGCCACGGGATG